GGGGGGGGGGGGGGGGGGGGGGGAGGGAAGGGGGAGGGGGAAGGATTGGGATCCAACATTGTCAATTCTTGTATTTAGTCAAACGTTGAAGGATTGCCAAAAAATATGGATAAATCTGAAGGCATTTGTTGATCATTCATATTTCCAGCCACAGCCATTCAGGCCAAATCAAATCGTGCAACCACGTCCTCAGCCTCAGCTCCAGCCTCAACCCAACCTCCAACCTCAATTCAGGCCTCAACCTCCTCAACCGCCACCATTCGTTCAACCTCAACAGCCCGTTCAGTCAAGACCAGTAGTCCCCCAGCGTCTTCAGCCTCAGCCTCAACCGCAGAGACCTCAACCGTACGTTCCACTTATTTCTTCACATGTTTTTTCCTATATGATCAAGCCACTGATGTGATCAGATTATGATGGGAAATACAGTCTATTCATTCAAAGTTTTTTTGCACTTTCAATGTGTCAACTTGATCGGTACGAGCGAGATCTAACTAATCATTGAAGTGAAACATGTACTATATAAGCGTTTAGTTTATCTTCACCACGTAGAAGGTCTACATCGCAGGGAATGTTATAAAAAAGAAGGGAAACAGCGATTGTATAGAATCGAATAATTCTTTTTGTAAACGTATAGATTCTTTATGATTTTAGAAACACCATTGTGCAACCTCAGCAGCCTTTTGTGCCCACTCCACAGCAGCAACAAACGGTTTGATTTATTGAATTCCTATTCGATATTTATTGGAAGGAAACTGTCATAGCTACGAATCAAATATTATTATCACCTAGTCAGAAAATGAAATATTTGTCCACTCAGAATTACCACAGAAGAATTAGTTGCTTCTTCATCTCCTTCTGTTCCTAAAAATCATGGATAATTCTGTTCATTCGCCTCTTCATGAACTCATGTAATGTTTCATTGTTCAGCCAGAAAGCCTTAAAAAATGAAGTTGTTCCAAATGAAACAGAAATGTTCATCAGTTACCCACCTTCCCGAGCTTCATCTGAATCGTGTCCTCAATTACCATTCACCCGTGTGATGAACTTATTCCGCTAAGCTTGAACTATTGTTGAACAAAGCAATAATGAAGTGAGCAAAATTAATCAAGCCAAACACCCATCACAATCACATCAATTCAATAATTATAATTGATTGCCACTGATCAAATCAGTACTAATTTCCCAGATGCACTTAAAATGCGAACCATTTGCTGCATATAATCAATCACGTTTGCCGTGTGAAATAACATCAGTCGAATACCAAACGATAATAATGCCTCACTGTACTGTAACGCTGTAAGATCTCGAACATCGCTCGTGCTCTCAAGTATCCACTATCGCAGTCAAAAAACTATCTTTTCGAGCAATTCATTTCCATTGATGAGCTAAAGTACTGCAATTCAGACGAGTCACGATATCGGGATTTTATTGAGCATACAGTAAATCGCATAAGCTTATAATATATTATCGTTGATCTATTCTATGCATATATGCACGCTAGTAATAAATCAAGGAGTGCACTAAAAAGTCAGTCGGTAACCCTTCCACCATAATCTTAATATCGCACCTCAAATACTTCAAGTGCCTCAGGTATCTCAGCAATTAACTCAACAACAACAACAGAATCCATTCGCCACAGAACAAACTCAAACACGGATAACGGGTCATATTGACGGCCGTGGTCAGAATGTTGGTGCACAAACCAGCAACGACATTATAAGAATAACTGGTTATCTTGGAAATCGAGAGAAACCCCAAACACAAGTCGAGACCCAAACAGATCAGATCCAGCAGAATCGTATCCAAAGGATAACGTTACCATCTCCATCTCAAACTACTGCAATTCCACAAAAACGGAATGATCCAGTTGAACAACGTCTAATGGCTCAACTAAATGAGCTGGAACGATTACGGGAACAGTCCAATAAACTTCGAGACGAAGAACGATTACTGCAGCAACAAAAACTTGCAATCCGAGAAGAGCAAGTGAAACAACTGCAACGAATTCGGTTATTGAAAAAACAGCGAAATCAACTGCTGAGACAACAAAAGAAGTTGATGCGAGCACATCATCAGATGCATCCGAGAGCACCGCCCGGAAAAACGCATCGTCCTTCACCTCCAAAGTCACCATCACATCGTATTTTCACCTCAGATCAGGAAACACGATCGCAGCAGCACCGTCACACAAGTACTAATCATTCAAGTGTAAGTTACATGAAAAAAATGCCACTTCATCAGTTCAAAACTGGCATTTCATTTAAATATGCCGTATCAAACTTTACTGGCAAATATGGCGTTTAAATGAGGCAGAATTGAGGTAATTTGTTGCTCTTCAAAATTGCTTGCTGCAGAAATATTCACTTGAATCAGTCCTCCAGCACTCATATTTTGTCACTTAATCACAACTCGCATAATATCACTAGCACATCAGTTGAAGTTCGCTGTGTCTTTCCATAATTAGTGCATTCGCGAATTTACAATGTGCCATATTTTTCATATTGATCAACTCTGGTTGCTCGTAGCTCAGAGAGCAGAAACAAAGAAATTGAAACAGTGGTTCTCATAGGGGAGGGAATTCCTGCCGTGGGATGAAGGGAAGGGGGACGGGATAGGCAAAGAGAGAAGTTGAAGATATCAGTAGGAATTACTGAAGCTGGTAAATTAATATTGACTGATTTTTTTTCAAAATCTTTCATATTCGTTTGAAAATTTTTTCGAAATGCTTCGTTGCTCACAAGAAACCGCTCGCTTTCGTACTATCGATACATTCTCGAAGATGAACTTTCTAATCACTGGATCAATTTTCCAATTTCCTTCTGGAGTGCGAACTAGATTGTAGTTCTTTTGACGCTTTGCTGATGCTCATCAACTTGCCAGACGTCCTTCTTTAGTTTGAGTACTTTCGAAAGCTTCCAATAACATCGCTGACCAAGGATTAGTTCGAGCCTCCTTCAAAAACTAGTCAATACAGTATTATAGGATGCTTACACTTGCATTTCTCCTCACAGTACTTCTTGAACTGTTTTATTGTAATGTTACTCTACTGCAAGCTTTAGCAACAACAGCAGCGACCAACCGCAACCTTACCTCCAGCTTTTCCGACCGTGCCGCAATTCCCAGTCAATCAACGACCCGTCAGACCAAGACCGCAACCTCCTCATTCCCCACCTCGTGTTGCTCTGCCATCGCGTACAACCGGACAAACTACCGCACCAAATCTTCGAACTGGTGGTAAGTGCGAAATTATTGAAGCACAGTGCAAAATCGCCTTATGATCGCAATTCGTTTCAACAAAATGATAGTAAACCAAAGCTGTTAACGAAGGCAAAAGAATTAATTCATTTAAGCCTGACCAACTTCAAATTAGACAGTATTGATAGTTCCATTGACAGACTGTTCCTAGATTTTAACAAAGTAGAAACTGGATGTCTGCTCGAAGTCAAAACTACCTCTTCTGATGAATTCTGAAACAATGCTTCGAGAGGCTGCCACTTCCATCCTTTGATGTGAAGAAACTCGCTTGAACTCAAATTCAAATGAATGGAAATTTCAGTTTGTCATGCATCGATCTTCTATATATCGTCACCTTTGGAAACTCGGTCTCGACTAACGTTCACCCATTTCGCGATCGCTGTATCGGTTGATCAATGTGCGAGAACTTGTCATGAATTCAACTGTGCTGTAAGACGTCATACATTCTCATCAGAAATATTGAACATTTCATCTCTCAGTTCCAAATAAACTTCAACAACACAAATTCTGTTTCTCCAATAATCACATTACGATCGAACAACGGTGCAGTCGTTGCGGTGAAAAGTTACTGACTCTGAGTTATGAAATTTTTGGGCAACGAAAATGAGAGTGATAATCGTAATAAACAAATTTCTCAGTGGTTTTCATAATTCCAGATTGCCCATTTCGACCCAGCCAATGGTCATTGCCAATTTAATCCATCAACTGCATTCGCCGTGCGTGAAGGACAATGTCCAAGATGGCCATCAGCTCATTATAGGTAAAACTCAACTGAACTTCATACATCGTGTTCGTCTGTTATCACATGAACGAATCATTCATTGACCAAGTTGGAAAATGTGAAATGCCTCGTAAGCTGCATAGAGTAATGAATAGTTTATTCTTAATATTGCAATTTCATTCATCACTCAGTTGAACTGATATTCGTTTAAGCGTTCAAATTCCAGTTTCTATCTGCATGAAACGAATTTGATCTTTTGTGTGAAGTAATTATTTGTCAGTATTGATGATTTCGCGCCGGAAAACAGCGTCGAAATAAATGATGAATTGAATTCCAGAAACAATGTTATGACGCAAGGAGCAATTCGCATATTTTGTGTGCAGTGCCACAGGCCATGTTAGTTGATTTTCAATGCGCAAAATTATTTGTCTTTAAAGCGCCAGACCTCAATTCTGTTTCCCTGAATTGGTTACAAACGATCACGTATAACTGATAAACTTTTGCCAATTACGGTTATATTACCTAGCTGGAAAGTGTAAGTCTTTCTGACATGAGTGTCAGTATGCAAAAAAATCTCGTCTTCCTTACTGAAACCAAAAACACTCACTCAACTGCCATATAATACCGTATTTGGGAAATATGTGAGGGCTTCAGTAGTTAGAGAGCAATGACATCAATGAATCCTAATGAAAACAATGAATACTCATTATTTCAGTTCGACGTGGACGAGGAAGAAGCCATGGTGGACGCTTCAGAACACGTATTGTTCAGCCTCAGTTCACCGGAAGGTCAGAGAATTACCGTTATTCTTTTTCCCTTAGTCAAACTCTATGTGCAGGATTACCTTCTAAGAAATGGAATTATGAGTCATCTGGAATTATGAGTCACTTCTACACCGCTTTGTCTTTAATTGTTGAATCTTTAATCACGAAAGCAAAGAGAACTGTGATATTTCTGGTGCCAAAGAGAAATGTGATATTTTTGATAGTGCTCATGGAATATCAGTGAAATGAGTCACATTTTTGGGAATTGATTGCATTTGATTCAAAAACTATCCAGCAATACAAAAAAGATTGATTTTTCTCGTTCGTTCATTCAAACACTGAAATGATTGCAGATTGACCTCAGCACTTGCAAGATCAGCGAAAATTTCATCAAAGAGAATCAGTTTAGATGATTCATCGCTTTTAAATGGACGTGACGACAACGATCACAATTATGAATCCACAAATATCAGGAATATTCATCAACCAACGTCAGTTTCCATTCTTACACTAGATTTCGGACTTTTTTGTGAGAGGTTGTTCCATAGCACTAGAACATGTATGTAGTTCAAGTACGCTCAAAACTCTGCAAATCTCCAGAACACTTTCCTAATTTATCTATCCGGCTGAAGTTCATTGGGAGCATAACACCTCACTTTGACAATCCTTTCGGTCAAAATGAAAGATTTCAACAAATTGTTCCTGTGGATAATAAATCAAGTCATTTTACCGATACATTTCCATCATGATAACTTGTTTCAAAATAATGTGTACGTATACTCTGCTCTACACAGTAGTCATATTTTTGTTGCAGGAATAATACGAAGTGGGACGCCGAAAAGGATGAGCGATTGGAAGTGAGAGAAATTTTTGATGAACGATAAATTTTTGATGAATGAGATCCATCTAGCACATTCTCAGATTCAATGAGTGATCAGTAAAAATTTTCCCGTAAATACAGATTTGGTAGCCAAGCAAAATGATTGCATTTAATGAATAAGTTAACCCAAATGTCGCTACACAGGTAATTAAAATATATTCGAGAGAGATCCATCTATCACATTCTCAGATTCATTCCAAAATCATTTGTCGCTGGAATGAGAGCATATTCAGTTGTAGTATTTGCTTCCTTACAATGCAGTTAGGAATGCAGTACTTTATAAGGATCTTCAATCAACTTTGACCCATTCATAAACAATATACTTCTTAATTGAAACTTATTCGATTCAAATTAAGGTTGTCTGTTCTGAAAATGATTGGATGATAATTTTTTATTCAAGTGACATTGTTTATTGCAGGTGGATATCAATGAATTAGAACGCAAGGTGATCGAAATGACACGAAAAAATGAAGGAGGAATACAACATTCATTAAAATCATCAGCCATTGTTCGAGAACAGCACTCGGCTGAGACGAGTGCAGATGAGTCGGAGAATTTATAGAGACTAATATCACAAGTGAATTTGAAATATTCAAGGAGAATTAAACAGAATTTAATATTATATTTCACTAAATGCTGATATTGTAGTATACTTTTGTTACAGTACTGTATTTTGTATTCAAACACTGCTGTTCAAGGTTGTTCCTTGTTTACTAGCAATTCATTCCTTGTGCACTTCGGATCCATCCGGGATTCAGTTTCAAAAGCGCCTCACTTGGACATGCTATAGAGCATTCAGTGAACGAATTCGTATGCCCCCTAGTGTTCTCCAGACAGTCAAAAAAATTCATAATTTATTCACATTATCGTTTGTTAATCGTTCCATCAGATATCTACGCATTTGCTTCTGTTTTTTTTCATTTTTGAAAAATCCAAAAAAAGTCGGAATGAAAGAAGAAATTCGTGACTAATCGCGGAGGCAGGTCGCGTTATTCATGTGTAACTGTAATTGCACGTTTATTTTATGGTTAGGTAAGAATTAAATGAAAAGCACGAATTAGCACTTAATGTGAATTGAGTTGTGGTGACTTCGCGCAATATTCTGTCACAAAGTAATCAAATCACATGAAAAACCTTAAGTTATGCCTTAATTACCATTATACGTTTGAAAATGAAAGTGTCGTTGGAAAATGAGATCAATATAATTCATGTGCTCCGCATGTTTTTTGATTTCACATGAGATCATTGATTCTACTTCAGTATCTCACCAAGTTACACTTTCTAATAAAATTTTGAATAATTCAACTTTATTAATTAGATTTTTTTGCAACTGGCACAGATAGTTCTTGAAAATGACATCGCAAGGTTGTTAACACTCATTGATCGTCTCAAAATTCATGTCAAAAAGGTATCACTTTAAAAATAATGATGCTAAGTACAATGAGACATATCGCATCGATTTCTCTGGACTCATCATTAGTGAATGACAGCACTGAACGTTCTTATGCTGTGCATGTTTATATGTTAAATCATTTTTTGTGATTCTCAGTTATAAATAAATGTTCCCAAATAATTTAGTTCAATCGTTATCATAGAAGTGCTCATTCTCGTTGTCAATACATTTGCAACTCACTGATGTGACTCATAAAACCTTTCCAAAACACCGCTTTGCCGATCACTTCTAAACATTCTCAGCGGCTGATTTAAGTTATTTCCCTGCTCTGGAGAAAGTCAATACTTCGATTGGTGTATTGGTGATCTGTATTAAACGGGCACGTACCACATCAATTATTGATCCGTTATGGAATACAGGTGATTGATGGCCGATTTTATGTGTTTTCATCCATCCTCAGAATTCAGGATTGTCAGCAATCGAAAAATAGTCGTGGCTCATGTTTTGTTTAAAGAGCATTCACTGGAAGGAACGATGCTGGAACATTCTTAACTTTATTTTCTTAAATACATGGATATATGAATAAGGAACAGGTGTTTCACAAACAAACAGACACAATCTTATCAGTAATAATTGGCATTTTACAATAAGTTGCATCCAAGAGATTCAGCGTTACATCATATTAAGAAATTTCGATGCAGCCGTACTACAAGCTGGTGGCTCACTTTCTGCGCGTTCATCTTGCAGTATTGATTCTTTTAACTGAAATTTCGCTTGTTTGTTTCAACGAGATGAAATCATCTGGGTTCAGACAACTGCAGTACTTGTCGGTGTCATTCTTTTAATCGGTCAAGAAATTCTGATGTTCGTGCTCAGTAAGCGTCATTTCGGATTAGTTACCGAAGACTTTCTCGTTTTATGACCTGCGAAAGAGACAAAATCTAGCGAAAATGTGAGTATTAGCTCGTTTCATCACACCTTTGCACTCTCTCGATTCATCACAAAAAAATTCTCCGATTTGATTGAGTCCTCGTCGACTGTCGACAGAAAAGAAGATGTTATTGTACGTGCGGTTTCTTCGGCCAGAGGAGCCTCACTACCTGCAGAGATAACATACTTGATGGAGTTGCCGCGTGACCAACAAGGATGACATTTTTGATCTAGAGAGTAGAACCTGTGGTTGTACCGTTCGTCCATTCGTCCACATATTGTAATGTTACGGATTCTCCAGATTTACGAAGATCTCGATAGCTAAGTGGATGTCCAGCTGGTTTCATTTGCACTTTCGGTTCAGGTTTCTGGAATACGAACTGATCTCGACAGATCGACTCTAATCGAACATTGTTCCTCAAATAATCTCCCCCCTAAGCTATGATCGTGAACTAATCGTCCGCGCCCTCCTCTAGTCTCCGAATATTTAGTAGTAATCACTCCCAAGGCAAGTAAGGAAATAGTGCAATATTTCCAAGAAGTTCACATTGTTTCGCCGCTCAGATCATCCCTCTTTGTGCTGTTTTCGCTCACTGTCGAACGAGATTGACCAACCAGAGAAACCCTTTTTAGAACATTTATCTTCATGTTGACTTTTCAAAATCGTGAAATGGAAGAATAGCAGTGTATTCTACGGTCTCCTTGTTTTGTTATGAACATGTTATGCGGATGAACAAACAGCCAATCAAACGAACTCGCAAAGTCTTAATTTCACCAGTTTCGACTTTAATCGCTGAATCAACAAATTTATCCATATCCAAATTATTCATCGCATCAGCTGGAATATTCAGCTGATCACCGAGATGTCGAAGTAGATCTCTGACTTTCATTCTGTAATCCTAGTGCTTAATTAGTCAACAAGTGCTTGTACGAGTGGCGATGATGAAGTAATATCTATAATGGTGATGCTAAATCAACGATGACAGTGATATTCATAATGATATCAATAGTACTAATACTCACATGTTAACGCTAACAGCAATAAAAGTAACCGTAGTAAAAACGAATAATTGAAAATAGTTGATCAGATTTCGAGTAGATCAAAAACAAACTTTTGCCCTCCGAACCAAACGTGCACATCGGCCGCATTTTCGATTTCACGTCCAAAATAGTGAATTCGTCGCAAGTATTCACCAGCGATATCAATCGCTAGTGTTGTTAGGGCTAATCCAAACGTTATATAGAGCATCGTTATGACTAAGAAACTGTCTCTGGAACTTGTAATTTCAGTGCATTCTCTTACGGTACAGAAACATTATGAGCTCACAATTGACTGAATGATGTGATCAATAAATCACTCTGAATATGAAAATATAGCTTCTCCGTCATACCGAAACTTTCTTCTCTACTGTATCATAATTTTCTACTAAACTGTTGCAATATTCTGCTAGAATCTGCTTTCCGAGTTTTCTTCAGTCTCAACATACATATAATAGAGCAATTTTTTTGTTCAGTGAATCATAACATCGCTTATTTTATTTCTCCCAGCTTTCCAGTTTTATGAGTTCAATTTTCTTGTTATCCTCTCTGCTACGTTCTTTTAGGGATTGGTGAGTGTGCTGATTGAATTACATACTTCAACTTGAATTCAACTTTCATTGAGGTGACGAACTATAAAGAAAAACTAAAATGGGATTGAATTAGGCAGCAAAACCTTTTAGGAACAAAGTCTCCCAAACCGACAGTAGTCAACGTAATGAAGCTGAAGTAAAATGCATTGAAATAATCTAGTTCTGGTTCGTAAAGTGACAAAAAATGTGCACCACACAACAAATAACCAGCAAACGTGAGCAAAAGAGCGATAGCCTCGATGATCTCTCTGAAACGAAATGCTTCTGAAGTGAATTGCAAAGAAACTTTATCGCAAACTAATCATCATTCAATTTATGCATTCTTCATGGAGGTGATTATCAGTCGGAATAGATAATATGCATCGAGAACAGATTGACTAATTAAGATACGTCATTTACAGGCACTCTCGAAGAGATATGCAATCTTTTAAACCTACAGATTCGGAGTTGAATCACCAACCTATTTGCGATATCCTCACTGCTCACGCTACCCATCATAATGTCCAGTCGATTATTATTATTCTTATCACTTTTTCCACTCAATCCACTAAACTTCTCGCAGTCATGTTGTTTTTCCTGCAGAAACTAATGTCAGTTACTAACGACAGTGTTTGAATATACAATATATTTTTAGAGTATACTACTACTAAATTTCTTTCCAACTATAAATTTGTAATTAATGACTACAGATTTGAATTTACTGATTATAACTTTGTAAGTACTAGCTACAAATTAACTCTCAATCATTTCAGCTGCAAGGACTGATCGCAAAGAATTGCTTTTATCAATACTTAATCGGATTATTCATGAATATTGAAAAAAGTGCAAAATCGCTCTGATCTCACAATCAGTATGCAGAAGTGGATTAGTTAACAAAAATGCTTCTCACAGAAAAATTGCTTTTGATCCCCTCATGTTCTTTGCTACACTTTGGCCGTAAGGCAGATTGCAAGTATGATATCCTCAAGTTCTCATTCCCGAGGATCCAGTTTTGTTCCTTTGAAAACCATTGGTATGAAAGAAGTAGCACCTATGACACTAATCGATTTTTCAATTAATACTGCAAATGTACACAACTCAAACAAACTAAAGTAGTAACCGCGAATCGATAACGTTGAAAATGATCCATAAGAAATAGTTTCGCTCTAATGAAACGTTTTGTAAGGAATCCTGCGATATATTTCAACATCTGCAATACATTTTAAGCTATGAATGGTAAATTAATAAGATATTTTCAGAAGATACGATTCTAAATAAATATGAAATTTTTTCCCAGAACTATCATATAAAGAACGACTAGATCAAAATCTATCAAAACCGCTGAGCAGGAATTGAATTCCAGTAAGTTGGTTTAGTTTACTTGGCGGACTCCCAGTTATTTGTCGATAGAAGAACGGGATTTGAGCTCATTTACTCGATTATTCCATTCGGTAAACTCGACCAGTTCGTAAAAATTTTCAATGAAAAAACCTTCAAGTGATATAAACCTTTGAGAAAAACATTCCTAAATCAGCAATTGTTAACAAAGTCATCGGAATACCTATCAGACCATATATTATCAAAAATAAGCGCCCTTCAAACGTTACAGGTGCCACGTTACCATATCCTAAAATCAATTCCTTCTTGAAATTCCGGAACTCTATGCATTATTCGCAGCACACTGGTTCAGTATCCAGTGATCCTTCTGTTTGCGAAGAAACAAGTATTACAACAGTTGCAGTCTATGATGATTGAATGACGATAATTGTTTTTAAGCCTAATCATTAGTCAGTTTTGAAAGGTTAGTCAGCACACGGACTACATTTCCAGTCGTTGACCGGTAGTGCTAGGAGTCTAAGCTAAGCCGAAACAACAAGTTGATTTTGCACTTTACATGACAGATGATCTGCAGAGATGGATAAACTGCAACGCAGTTGCGAGCTGAAATATGATACCTATAGTTGTTATAACGGTATACGCAAAAATAAGTGCATCTGTGAATGTCCAACCATCCGTATCTTCGTCTGGCTTGGCTCCAGAGTCCTCTAAAGCAATCTCTGAAATTGAACGTCGAGATCATTAAGAGGGTCTGATGGAGGCAAATACATTCAGAACAATAATTACTAATCTCATTCTGAATGAAACCGTCACTCCTTCCCCCACCTTCCTCCTCATAGAAAAATGATCTAGTCTTGAGCTTTTTGGCTACCAGATAGATCAGACTATCTGATCGACTCAACCAGTCCTAACCTGTTTGGTCCCGTGATTGCATTTTATATCTGTTTGAAACAGGGGAATTTCCGCACATAAATCCTTTTTTCTCTGCAGCATCTCCATTATCAAGAATAGTACCAAAAACATATACGCCTATCTTTGTTTATGAAAGATCTAAGTTGTTTTGAGAAATGACGATAATCAGAGTGAAAGATCAAGATCAAATACATTTGGGATTAGGGCTTAGGGTGAAGCTCACACTAGAGCTAAGGAATCCATTGAGCAAATAGATTGTTCTGTCATACTTAAAAATAGATGGTTCCCCGATATGAGCCTTAACTTAAGCCAAAACCCAAACAATCCAGTAAGTTGTTCCGCCCTGATCATCGCCACATGTTTCTGGCTAGCGATGAATTTGAAATTTGCGGAAAATTACATCTCAACTGATGGAACTATTTCGAAACAATCTCATATCAGTATTTCATTCAATCTGAAAAAGCGATTACAACTGATTTCTATTCAAAGTTACCTTCAAATGCACTCAATTTCATTGAATTCTTTGAGTGAGTAATGACAAAGTCGATGGCCAAAGCAAGTGATAACGAATCATTAAGACATTTTCTCTCACCTGTCAAAATATTCGACCTAATTAATGATAAATAACATTCGTCGATATCAGCGATAATATAACGATCAACTTCGTCTTCATTACAACCGGTCGTGTTAAACATCATTTCGATCGCTCTTTTTATGCATTGTTGATGAGTCTGAATTTCGAATTTACATTCAAAGTACCGAAGGAATAATGGAATGGAGAAGGGGCTTTTCGGCCTATAGTTCGCATCAGTCAGATATCCTTCGGGTCAGAAATATTGGGAATGTTCAGGAAGATAGTGTAATTTTAACGATTGTTGAATTGAAACATTAGCAATTTCTAGATCACTGAGGTATGAAATCTTTCTCGAAAGATTACATTGAAGCAACACATCGTTTTGCAATTTATCAATTTTGATCAGACCCATCTCAGAAAGTGTTAAATATGAACCAAAGCTGAAGGTGTATTGAAAAAATTTTGAAATTGCGGATGAATTTCTATTGCTTGTCGAAGTAACTCAACTGTGACAATTAAGTGTGATCTATGAGTGCCGTTATGTTGGAACAGCTTGAAAAGATGTATTTCACGCATATTTATAGTTTATGGAGCAATATTTTTAAAGCATGAAAATGCTAATAGCGTTCTACTGTTTGAGTTTGACAACTTTCATCATAGCTTGTATATTCGATGACATTCGCTGTGGAAAAAATGCATTTAATTGTAATTTTTGACATCCAAAGAGATTATCGTATTCTCGGACGTTTTTGAATGAAAGGCGAACCGTTTCATTGGAATCCTTGTTATTCAAACGCTTGTTCGAAGATCGTTCCTCTCTGTACATATCAGCTGGAAAAGGTAAGACTCAACAGTGAAAAACAAGAATCGGATGGAGGAGCGTTTAATTGCATTTAATGAAAAATTCGTGGATGACAGTAGCAAGATATGAGTATATCAGGGGATAGCTATCAAAAAGAACGTACTTATCGTCTCATAAACGACCACATCAGATGCGGCATTATCGGATTCGATCATTCTGAAAAAGATGTGCGGGAATGAAATTTGTAAAAACTGCTTATTAGAATAATAAAGATGCGGCAACAAAATATTTCGGAATTCTCTCAGGGGAATTTTCAAATTAAAAGCAACTGAAAAAATACGCATCGAATTCTGAGAAATTCGTATTTCAAATATGTTTCAAAGAGTTTTTGCATGAGATTTTTTATATGAGGATTGTGAGTTTCTCACTCATTACGACTGAGAATGAGAAAAATTCAGAAATTGTTTGCATCGCATTTATCAAACTCGAAATCCTTAAACATTTGACGAATCTGACAAGGAGGATGAAATCAACCAATGCAGAACGTTCCGAAAGTTGCTTCTGCGGTTTCAAAAATGCTTTACTGAGTGGTGGGACAATCGCTTCGTGTTCCATTGCAGCTCCATTGAGAATATTCCAGCTTCATAAAGAATTACTCAAATAGAATGCCAACTTTCCTAATAATATTAAAGTATTGTTGGGATTGCTAGAACGAACCGTTTTTGTCGGCTTCGCTGGGAACTGCTTGCAATTAGTGGTTGCTCATCTTGATCATTATCATTTTTATTATCATTAAAGTCATGATTTTCTAAGAATCTCATTATTAATGCACCCGTAATTGCGTACACCACAACACCAATGATCAATGTTAAACGTAATGCTATTGCCGACAACTGAAATTTACGCAATAAAATTCTGATCCATATTATAACGAGCATTTATGAAATTCGCATTGGTGCAATTATCATTATAATGATCATCGCTGCTTCTGCTTAATGATTCTTTCTGACATCCATTATTTGAACTCATTCGAATTGCGTGAAAATTATCTTCGAAAATAAAATCCAGTTCCATTTGAACATGTACGACTTAAAGTATCGACCTCTTAATCAACTCTCACAAGATCAAACGCACTGAAATTTTAAAATATTGAACGAACCGATTAAAACTTTGCGCTATCGTTAGCTTGAACTTACGCTTAATCACCACTGAATTCAACCCCAACCTAAAACTTATCTACCTCGACCTTACCTTAACGTTAGCGAGCGAATTTCGCAGTCGTTTGATTAGGATGACCATTCTGAAATTAATTTGAGTTACTACTTAATTGTAATCGAATTATTTACTGCACTCATTCAAATGAAGATCAGTAAATGCATTGATCTTTTTTGTGTAATGATGTTTCCGTGCAATTATACTTTCGTGGATATATATAAGTCCTTCAAAATCTAGTGATAAAAACTGACACTTTCGAAAATTGCTCATTGTCAGTTAGAAAAGCATAACATTCAGATTCATCGTGTGATAGATTAAAGACCTAATAATGCGTGACAATGCATAATGATACATTGTTATAATTGTCGGCATGTGCAATTCTCTATTAAAACATGGATGAAAAACAAAGATGCAAGGATAATCTTTATTAACAAAGGTTCTCTTCTGAAACTTTAAAGGATAACGAATAAAACTAGTTATTGTTGAATATCAATTCAAATTTGCTCAATGGAAGATCTTTTTTCTGGATCAAAAAGCCGAAAGCAAAAGCGCAATTCGAAAGATTCAAACTTCTTATCACTGTCATTAAGAATGCCATATTTAAATGAACCATTTGCAGTTCACGGCTCATAAACCACCTTGGCATAGATATCTTCTTTAAACAGACAGATCTGCTGGTCAGCAAAAAATATCGCAAAAGCATATTTCTCAGAATCGGTCGAATTTATGAATGGAGGAACATCATCATCCGTTAGTTAGTGGTTATGGTTCACATCGAGTCGTTCCGTGATGTGCAAAACAATTTTATGCAATTGAATTCCATCAAAATTCTCCATTGCAGTTTTACGGCCGAAGCCATTCCTAAATGAGTAAGCGCACTGCAGTTCATGATGAATGAGTGTTGAGTTGAATGCATGAATGACTACTCGAGTTTTCATCCGTATATCAATCACCTCACAAAAAACAATTATTTTTTTGATGTGTATCGTCAATTCCTTTTCAATTGATCGTAACTAAAAAAAACAAATGAAATCCAGCAGGCAATAACCGACTGTTTTATGCTGCAACGATCGCAGTGAAAGATAGATTATTGAGGAATATTGGAGATTCAAATCGTAAGTCGACCAAATGTCTTCAATTTTCGCATAAAAGTGGTTTGCAAGCGCATTAGTTTACCAGAGATAACGAAGATGAAATCGAAGCCACCAGATATTTGATTAAGAAATCAACAAGCGAGAGAAATATTTTAGCAAAATTTCTCCCAGATGGATGGATGTTCAATCGAGAAGACATTTCAAGAGGCATTTTGAAAGTTTGCTGAGGAAGTTGAAATGAAAATGAGACATGAACCTGAAGGAATGAAGCCAAACAATGTGATAGATAAAACGTACGGTCTGATGAAATTCAGATCACAATAAACAAACATTGAAAATGAATTATGTGAATTTCAAAGACATTTGTTGTTCATTTGAAATACGTAATGTTATTCGCTTCGAAATGAGACAGCAGCTGATGAAGAAAGAAAGAAATAAATCTGTTGGGAGCGAGCGAGAAAAATTCGTTCGGAGCAAGCCTAAATTAGTCGTTGTTGAGAACGAAATTAAGGAAATTTGCGAAAAAAATTGGATTCGTCGTCGACAACATTGTATGTACTCATTCATCTTAAAATACGACAACAAAGAATTACACTAGCTTTAATTACAAATTAATAACCGTAGTTCCATGACAACAATTACTGAATGGAAAAATTATTGAATTAAGTTTAAATTGATCTTGGTTTTGATAAAATTTCAGTGAAATAATATTCGGGAACACGAAACGATAGAACGAATACAATTGGATTTGAGGTGCTGCTCACAGCAAAATTGAGCACATTGCTTAGTTCCATTTTATTTATGCGATTTGTTTTTTTTTCCATTGGCAGGTTCGCTAAACTCCGATCAAAATGATCGAAAGAACACAACAATCATCACCTGCTTGGTGTTATCACATCGAAAATTTTCTTTTCATTCGATTGAGAGCTAATCAATTCGATCAGATCACGATCGATTAAGCAGTAAAGGTGTTGAGTTATTACTCATTCAATGACGAAACAGCTTAAGCCCCACCTTGATAATGCTTATACAAAACTATAAGCACTATCTCAAGATGTTCAAAACTGACTAGGTCTCAAGAGGACAGCCTAAATGGAACGTGCAGTAGTGGGCAGTGACACATCACGACATGATAGCAATCATAGGTGGGGGATCAGGAGAATGAATTTTGTTTCGAAATGCAACGAACTCGCTGTCATCAGTGGATGTTCCCTTTCGCACACGTTTCAAACTGATCAACTGAAACTAAACATCTTCGAAAATTTGCACAACGTCGCTTGGAAAAATATTTCGAGTACACATATGACAATGATATAACAATAACCGGGCTGTTTGTTTATGATTGCCACAACTTGTTCATTGGTTATAAATTTGGTTTTCGACTGATTATGATGACGAAATTTCTCGCAATATTGAATCATGTCTTCAAACTGGATTTTGTCTTTTTAAGTTGAACGATTCCTTTGATCACTTATCGACTGCGCAATCAAATCTCCAGTTTTGCTCTTATGATCAGTTAACTAGCGTATGCCATATTATAAGGTTAAGCGTAAGCTTAAGAGTACGCCCAAAGCCACACAAACCCGAATCTGAGATAAATCTATGTAAATAAAAGTGAACAGCTTTCCGATTCATTGTCAAGTGTTTTTACAGTCGAATCAATTTTATTATCTGATGAAAATGATGGTAACAAAATGACGAAGAATGGAGCAGTATATGTGACAACTGAATACATGTGCATATTGATGACATTCCAACGAAATTTCTAATTTAAAGGCTAACATAAATTTTAGATGAAATGGATGGTAGTTCATTAATATCTGAACAATTGTAAATAAACTGAATGGTGCAGTTTTGGTGACGGTGAATGAAATATCACGCGAAATGAATGATATTTCAGAACAATAACCAGAAAGAAGCTATTTGATAAACTAGTTAAACAATGATATCATGAACAAGAGTTGAGTAAAGAAATAAGGTTTTCGAAGCTGAAACAATCGAAATGAACATGTGGCGAAAAATGTGAAAATTTTGGGCGTTGGGTCGGAAAATTTTATTCCCGTTTTATAAATTATGATACGGAGTAGTGCAAAAGGCTCCCAAACCAGAGGATTAGAAATGTGAAGAGGTTGTTGGTGAGTGAAACGGCAATAAAATGCTTCGAGTGTTCCATTTGAAAGCCTTTCCATTCATTTTATTTCAAAAACTTCCGGTGCTGAATGGCATCGAGGAGTCAATGATTGTGTTAAGTGCGTCGACATTGCATGTTCTGCTCAAGCATTCAAATGGTTCAATCGAACATTCAATGCAAACCATTATCGTAAATATGAACTACGAGTTATGATTTTCGAGTGAGGACAGAAAATTTCATTCAGATTGCATTCGGAAAAGACGACTACTGGCTTTGAGAAAAAGAATTTCTAGCTCAAAAAAGACTGTAGGTGTTAAAAAAACTTATCCGAATAAGATGGGGCTATCAGCAAGGCTTGAGTGCAAAGAAATGGCATGGAAATGGCTTCAGCTGACAGGTTTTTAGCCCTTTATAGACTCGAAAAGACTCTATATATGCTCTCAGTCATATAACTATAATCTGCATAAGGTCGTCAACGTTTTCACATATGAATGGAGGATAACTTCTGATATAATGTAAATAAATGAGTACCACTGCGCTGCATGAGATAGCTTTGAGAAAACAGCTATATCTCCTAATGTAAGCAAAACTGCTCAGCAGTATACATAATATTCTGAAACTAGAGGCTCTGAAGAATCGAATGGTGTACACGAAGTCATATGTTACTGGGCCAACTTGAGAGTACGGTTGGCTTGGATATGGCAACCCGTGTAGCATTGAGAAAATAGTTATATTTCCCTATCTAATCATAATTGCTCGGCAAAATATATGATATTCTGAAAGTAGAGATTCTGAGCAATCGAACAGTGCAAAGAAATTTACATGTTACCGAGCAAACCTGAGAGTACCGGTACCTTGAAGATCGTAACGCTATAGCGCTAGAGTAATGTCTACAATTGATCTACCGTGATAGAATGGATACGAATGAGCGCCTCTGCGCTAATTGAAATCATTAGGAAAATAGCTAAATCTCCTCAAGTAAGCAAAATCGCTCGGCAAAGTATATATTTTTCTGGATCCAAAGATTCCGCTGGATCAAACGATGCAAAGAAATTTACATGCTATCGGGCAAACCTGAGAGTACGGTAGGCTTGAAGATGGTAACCCCTATGCTGCTATAGCAATGAGTACATTGATCTCAGTTCTCTCCTTAAATGGGAATTTCAACTATTTAAGAGGTGTGAGAAATATAAAATATGCAACAATGTCATATTAATTATTGCTCAAAAAAACGAATCAAGTGCTATGCCAGCAAAGATTGACTTCTGCTCATAAACATGCAAATTTGGGATATGTTCTTAAGTAGATATGATCTGGTCAACATGTAATCTGCAATCTGCATTCAACTCAGTGCTCAAACTCAGCTCAGCAAGTTGCAAATCTGCTCATTATATCGAGATATTTCTAGAATCGAATTCTCAACATTATTTCTCATAGTTTGTGAACCAATAAGTGGTTGGTCCGGCTTGTTTCCGGATTCGACTGTTGATATAGACGTAAGTTGTCGATATAGAGTCCCTAGTTACTTCTTTGAATTATTTTCCTCTCGATGAAGTTTTTGCCAGCTGAAGCGATTTTCGGAATGGTTACTTCTGTGTGACTAATCATTTCGTGACCCGAATTTTCATTTTTTTAAACATTCACTTTCCAAACTAAATTGTCATTCAGATGAATTTCCTCAAAAGCAATTTAAATAAAGTTATAACTGTCGTTGTTGTTGTAAGTGCTACAATTGCAAGTATCATCGTATATAGCTACTATTCGTCAAGAGGTACTGAAAAGCAGTCTGAAAAAGTAGGTTCATTGATTAATCCGTTTCAATTTCTTACAGCATATTTCTTCGGGTTATTATATTCTGCAGTTGGTTAAAAGCTGTACGTATTCGTTTGCAATTCAGATCATCGTTTTTTGCGCGTGTGAATGTGACTAATTTCTACAGTCGCACGTTCTGTGTTCCAATGACCTACTATCGCTAACTAAAACGTGCTGGGTTTAGATTGCAGACGAATCTCTGAGTCACAAGCACAAAAACTAACTCTAAATTCGAACACCATTTGCAGAGCAGAGAGCGTCGAGTAAATTCAAAAAGCAAAAAGTCATCAAAAGCAATCGATATCACTGTTAAGAAGTTACCAGATGAAGTTGACGTGGAGATCTCACCATCTAGAAGCCCCACAGGCAATGAACCTGGCAGGAGTCAGAGCACTAGAGTGGGTGTTCTTTGTTGAACTGAAGTGAACGTTTCAGAGGGAAAGCTTCCTGTTCGAACGTTGATTTTGTGCAGTTTCCAATTACTACAGTGATGCTTTCAGCTTGTTGAAGGTGGAATTTCAGATGAGGTTTCAGGATCGGTTATCGATCAAACGTTGAAGTTTCAGGCAACTAGAGAAGACATAGTATACGTTCCACCACCTGAAGACTTGGACCATCAAGAAGATGAGAAAGGGTCAACTGTTCCAAAACCACCAAGTCCACCGCTGCGACAAGTAAGAGTTTTTTATTCGAATGACACATCCACCATTAGGTTGAAAACGTTTTTTGAAGTGAAGATTCATTACATTGAATTTGAAACTGAAATCATTTGGATTCTACAGACAGACGTTTATTCGTGTGAGTGTGATCAAAGCACAAGTCGATCGTCGATCATTGATGGTGCCTTCGATTCGTCGATTGAAGTTCAGACCGCACGAACCGAAACTCAGCCAGTTCGATATGATCCATTCACTCCAGTCAATTTGCTTGAAGAACAAGGTAATCGAAGTGAATTTTGCTGGAATATTTTAATGTAACCCATTGTTTCTTGCTTCAAAAAGCTCGTGTCATTTTGTACAAGAATTCAGTGTTCTACAATCGTAGGTGATGAACAAAAGTCACTGGTCAACTCAAGCCAGAGCCTGGTCCTATTTCCACGAGATCATTTTAATTTATGCCAGCACTTCGTTTCTGCGAGATCATCTTAATTCTGATCTATATGTTTGAATTAAGGGCAGACAAAAGTTCATTGCCGCATGCAAGCCAACTTCGGCTTCCATTTCTAAATGCAGTAGCAAAGAATGCGTGATAGTTGCAGGTGTCTCAGATTTAAGTGATAAATCTTTACAAGAGCCCGAAGGGGTGTTGAACCATCGCATAATCGTTCCATTCCTACCAGTCCTGAACGCAATATGCTACGCCGCCAAACACGTCGAATTGCTCGGTCAACTTCGCGACAACTATTCGTTCTATGAGCGCAACTATGTATAACTATGTTCAGTTTTTTTGCTTAGCAGATCAGAGTATTCCATTAACGTCCGATCGATATCTTTTCTCGAAATGAATATTATAAGAAGATGTTTTCCTCGCAGATGAAAGCTTTTTGGCATTAAGAACAAACAGTTCACATCTAGGACCGCAGTCGATTAGTTTTAGCATCACTCTGTTGGTCTGCTTTCAAATTCAGGTGAGCTTAAGGCGGTAGTTTACTGTGACGTGAATAAACACTGGCGTGAATGAAATTTTGTGGTTGAATGAACGAGAAACATGTCTGAATTTCTTCATCATAATTAATGCTGACTATTCATTGCCAAGGTGTCCTTTCAAAATGTTTTATTCCCATAATGTCTCGATTTTTATGGGGACAAAAATAACGTAGATGGGAGCTCAGGCTCGCACTTCTTCAGAAGTTAGAGCTACAAAAACGAAACGCCTCGATCGGACACTACTGTCAGCTTCTAATTATTATATAGCAATATTATAATTTTTATTGATACTGCCAAAAAAATTCACCTCCTCGAAAAGGTGTCTTTGACGATTACGTATAATCTTTCAGCGATGTTATTAGCTTTGTTATTATTATTCTGAATAAAAAATTGATTGTATGTGTGAAAAGCAGCCCTGCTGAAAATATAGGACGCAGGATAAAATTCCTCGAAACAAAGTGATAATTCAGTTCATTGCTCACACAAACATTATTCAGGTGTAAAAATTTATGACTCATGACGACAATACTAACAATGATAATAAATATTGTATCATTCAAATGATGTAATACAGTGTAATTGTATCAGATGTAATTATACTGAATGATCTGGATGTTAATTCAGTTGTTTATGAATAATCCTAAGCCCAAAAGCTTATGATAATCATCATCAGCCAACTCACAATCACCATGTTGTCTATATTATTACACTTCCACATTTCAGTGCCGAAACAAAATAGAACATAATAAAGTAATAGAGTTGTGCCGCTTAATATCATTTTTACAAAGACTTATATTTATACTTATTCTGCATTTATTTTTATAGATTTATACGTATGCGCACACATTTGTTACACAAACGAAGTTAATCTGAGTGAAAGATCTGTTAGTTATATTGTTGTTGTCATTATTATGCTAGAGAAGATTACATCGAAAGTTCAGTTCTGTGTTGCATAACACCACCACAACTTCACTGAATAACAGCAACATTTGGTACAACATTTGAAAATTATATTAATTATATGCACATTCGTTCGTGTGAAGATGATTTGTTTTCAATTTATTAAGTTAAATTACATTACACATTTTAGAGATCAATTGATTTATTGGAATTCAATTGATTTAGTGGAACCTAAAGCACATTTGATATAAGAACACCGTTATTACTGTGATGATCACCATCGATTGCTGCTGCAATCGCTTGAGGATGACTTCAACTTTTTGCTGAGTTATTTTGCGAGCGAAATCGTTTGAAATTATTACCCTCTTTGTTCGGCATCGTTGCATTCGCCTCGTAAATCAGGATGCTGTTGACTATGCGACCTCAAAACACCATACTCTGAGCAGACTTCATTTCCTCTCCTCCATGCCTAGTATGACTTTGCGTGGATATGTGCGTGCAGTGGGCCCGTCAAAACGGCGTGAATCTTCTCAAGGCAGACATTTTCCCTGAAACGTATAAGCATCCAGATTAGTTGCCACCTTTCTTGTTTGCACAAGAGAATTTTCTGGGTTGTAAGAGTTTTCGAAATAATACGTGGGAAAAGTGATATTTTCCTGTTCGTAGTGAAAATATACATATGATCACAATAACAATAACTCTTGCAAGAGGATCGCTATAATAACGAAAAACTCTTTATGAGTAGATTTAATGCGTTGATTTATTGGATTGTTCAATGCGAGATGATAAATAATTAGAGTAACTGCGATTCGTTTTGGGTGGAATATGTGATCGTTACTGCGATCGTTCACAGTAGCTGAGAATGTTGAAACAATGTTATTATAATCAGTATTCGTACACACATACTCAATGAATATTGTTATTGTGATTATCAATATCGTTATTGTTAACATTATGATTGTTGGTGTTGTTGTTATTGAGTAGTTTCAGTGATATGATAATGATCTTTACACTCATACGTAGACCTTATCATGAATATTGTCATATGAGTTATTGTTGGAATGCCGAGAATTCTCATAAGATAAATGAAAATATATTAAACTAATTCGAAATCCTTTTGAAAGCACTCGACAGACTGTGAAAATTCCAGAAGAATTTATCGTCTTTACGAAATTCCTTACAGAGATATGTACAGCTGAACTGTGAATAGACGAATTGTTGCACAAAAATACATAGTGCGACTAAACTGTGCTCTTCGGTTGCATTGAAATGCGTTGTCGAGATTTCTGTTAGGATGTTTTCTGTGGACCAATCAATCAAAATTGGAGAGTTTGATCTTTTGAGAGATTGATTTGTGGCTTGGTTTTCCTATGAACAACAAAAAGTGTGCATTTGATTGCTCATAAATTGGCAAATGAACCTAGAAATTTACTTACGATTAAGAAATGTGTGCAATTCCGATTTGATTAGCCACAAACGGCACAAACGATTAACTCGTCCCAATCGTATTATTCCACACCGGATTCATATGGGTTTTCTTGTCTTGCTTCACTTCAGTGACATTCCAAAACTTATTTGAAAGGATCACTGATAAGCGAAACAAGTAATATAGGAAAGCATGCAAAAAGCTTATCATAAAACCTTTGCGTGAAATGTTTGCACGTTTATTGATGATGATAAGGTGCCAATCATGATTTTATCATCGCATTTATTGTGTGCTGTAATGCAAATTATTTACCATTCATTTATCAAGTTCACTGAAAATCCATATCATTGCAATGCAACGTTATCGTCAATAACCAAAGTTAAACCCCGTTGGATGAGTCGTCCACGTGCAAAACACGTAAGATACGCTGAAAAATTTATGAGCGTTGGCAGTGAAAAGAATGTCGTTCCTTGTATTGCTGATATCGCAAAGAAGTGTTGATAACAAAGAAAATCATAAAGTGGATGTTTCTTCTCGATGAGGAACGCCGCCCTCCCTTGATCATCATATCACCATCGTCATCATCAGCGACGCACAGTGTTATAATGTAACAGTTATGTAATATGTGTTCGAATTTATATGTAAATACAGAGCAGTAACAAGAGATGATTTTATGCAGAGAATACAACAATATTCAGCAGAAGCGATCAGATAATATCAATCATCAGCAATGAATAACTGAAACAACTCATCGAGTCAGATATGATGGGATGGATCATAGTGATGATTTCAGCAAGAGCACGACCACAAAAAGCTCCACCCCGTTGCTTGTATTAATCGTTGTGTTGTGTGAAAAGAAGAGAATTTCAGTTGTTAAATCAACTAGAATCAAGTGAGTGTGTGTGTATGTGTGTGCGTGTGTTAGTGCAAGGAAGAAGGACCGAAATTTTTTCAAGAAGACAATTTTAACAACGATTGTAACAAGGTTATCAAATAAGGAGTGCGACCACAGTAACGTGAACGAACTCTTCATTCAGCTTTCATCCAATTATTCAACTTCTCTGTTACTGTTGAAAATATTTGTCACTTGATTAAATTTTGCGACATTTTCATTCACTCACTCATATCCACTTGAAGGCTTTCTTTAAAACCTGAAAGAGTCGTGCTTTCTTCACCTTTAGGTACTTTTTCTACCATCATCACTGCCCGCCACAGCCACAAACCATTTTATCACTCCATCAATCACATTAACTCCCACTCATTCGATAATACAATCAAATTTTATATTGTGTGATTTATAACTGATTAAAATCACATTACATTACATTGCTATTCTAATTCGTAAACTGTTACTACTACCATAATTCTACCACTACTATTATTGCTGTCGTACTCTAGAATCCTACAGAACGGTAGTAGTAATACTGAAGAATTGTCCTAGAGTGGTTTCATCTCGTCACTGACTATTCAAAACCCAATCAAGTGGTTATTATATTTAGATAAAGATTGTCAGTTCAAACGGCTATTAAATACCTTCAAATTAAGTGGTTTATACTTAGCCAATCTAGTTATCTGTCTGGGATAAAGATATAAATTTCTTAAGTGCTCATAAATCCACGACGTGATTGTCCCGCTGATTTATCACATTCCAGCAGTGAATTTCACCAATTTATCAATCAATCAAACCGAATTCCATCGAATCTCAAACAATCCTCAGCTAAGCAGCACCAATTGAGCAATCAATCCTCTTAGCGGTGCATGCACAACTCTTAATTTGCGTTTCCATCATAGAAAAATCGTCACTTCATTCATTCTCATTCCTTCGCTTAATTGCCATCAAAACGAGCGCGCAACGCAATCACTGTTTGATCGGCAACTATATATTCACCAACCAATGCGCTAAGCCAAGATTGTTGATTCCGTTCGGCAACGGGCTCGTCTCACCGTACCGGCTTCATTGCATTCCAGCAAAACTCAGAAGCCGATTGTAAGGTAGACGAGCGTCTGAAGGAGCATTCACTCATTCCTCGTGCTCCTTGTACAGCCAACAGCAATTCGATTCTTCCAACTGATCACTGCTCGCTTGGCTTCAAAACGCTTGACGACAACGGAAACAACATTGACTGTTTCAAACAGTGTTGAAACATTTTGCAAATTGGGTAACATTGTAACTCAAACAAATTCATTCTCTATAAAGAGTCATTCTGGATTTCACGGTGGAGGATTCAAATCGCCACAATTCATTCATTCTATCGCGCATTGCTGAAATTCTTCGTACTCATTCTCCGTGCATCAGCACTGCAAATTCCTACGTTTGCATCAATTCAAGTTTCATTCAAACTTGAATTTTGCAACTCCAGTGGGTGTCAACATTTCTTATTGTGGGCAGTCCATCAGTTATACGGTTTGATTATTGGTTATTATCCTTATTATTACTATTATTATTCATATTATTGTTG